TGCAAGCTTTGTCGATCTATCTATGACCTGAAGCAAGCTTCAAGATAGTGGAACCTAAAATTTTATCAAGTCATTTTAGCAAATGGGTTTATTATGATGGAGGATGATCATTGTGTGTACATCAAGTAGTCCCCAAATAGTTTTGTGATCCTATCTTTGTATGTGGACGACATACTTTTAGTTGAAAATAAAAGGGAGTTGATTGATGCTACTAAAATGTGGTTATCTTCTAATTTTGAGATGAAGAATGTGGGTGAAGCTAGTTATGTTCTTGGAGTAAAGATTGTAAGAGATCGCTCTAAAAGGCTACTTGGTTTGTCTCAAGAGACTTACATTAAGAAGATGCTTGAGCGATATCAAATGCATAACTGCAAATCTATAAATACTTTTGTGGAGAGAAATTTAAGCCTAAGCCTTGATATGGGTCCTAAGACTCCAGAAGAAAAGGAAAAGATGCCAAGATTTCCTATTCTAGCGCTATCGGAAGTCTCATATACGCAATGATGTGTACAAGACCCGACATGTGTTATGTTGTTGGACTAGTCAGCCGATATCAGGCAAATCCAAGACTTACGCATTAGAAGCCAATCAAGAGGATTTTAAGATATCTTAAAGGTACATCAGACTATATATTGTGTTATTATGGTAGAGATTTCCACTTAGTAGGTTACAATGATGCTGCTTGGGGAGGTGATGTAGATGAACGCAAATCAACATCAGGGTATGCTTTTCTGCTCAACAGTGGTGCCATATCTGGGAGCAGTAAGAAGCAATCTTGTGTAGCCTTGTCTACCATGGAGGTCGAGTACATAGCATGTTTTGTAGCAGTGCAGGAAGTTATTTGGTTGAGATTCATGCAGCACTTAAAATTTATCACTGATGCATCTGATCCTGTGACAATTAACTGTGATAGTATGACTGCACTTGCATACAAGGATCTCAAGGATCATGGGAAAACCAAACACATACAGCTGAGATATCACTTTATTACAGACATGATGGCACATAAGGAGGTGGTCTTACAACATATTTCTACGAGTCAGATGGTTGCAGATACATTTACCAAACCTCTTACTAGAGATTTATAAGTTTCACATGTTAAATCCCTAGGACTGCGTAGAATATGACTGTACTTATGATTTGTAGACTACTATATGATTTGTATGATGAGATGATACATTTGTTGCACTTGTATGATTGATTAAGCTGAGTAGATATAAAGTATGTCGATAAGTTAAGATTGGCTCTCTCACATGAGCAATCACCTTTTGGCGCTGATGAAGCGAGCAAAGATGAGACATAGGTTAGTTATAGCGCTAAGAAAACAAGTATAACTCAAATTTTAATGTCGCCTTGGTAAGGGACCAAGATGAGGTTTTTAAGAGAATAAAGAGCTGACATGAATGTTTCCCCACCATTCATGAAATATGTACATAACGCCAGGTACAAGAAATTTATTTGGTGCTGTTGAAAGTGAGCAAACGAGTACCTCGAGTTAGGCGCTTATGGTACGACTGAACTGAGATCTGTATGATGTTTAGAGTTTAAGACATACACTCTAAATTAGTAAAGTTTTCCACCATAGCATGCATTTCATACTGCATGTACTTAGCGACCAAATATGGAAGTGAGTGAATGAGTCCCTGCTTCCTCACCGTGCGAGTCCCAAAGGTCAAAAAATGATCTCATTTGTACCCTATGTGACTTTTGACTATGTCATGAAGTGGAAAATTAATGATAGCTACTCTAGTGTGTCACCTATGGTCATGATTGATTTGGCCTAACGGGACACTATTGGGCAAGCAGTTAGCTTGAGACTAAGTGGGATGAGGGCGAAAGGAAGACTAATTTAGAATGATACACATCATTTGTATTCACTGGCTAATCAGTTGTGTCGCTTTAATGCAAGCGGACACGATTGTGGATACATGTGAAATTTAGAGGAGGATTAAGCATGGATCTAATGAGGGATTTAGATACGCTTAATTCTGTGTAACCAAATAAGTCTGGGCTACTGCAGTACACTATTATTTAATTGTTTTCATGTTTTTGGGTTGATGTCTCTATTCTGACCCTAACGGGTTTCTAGTTTGGAGGTCCCAAGTACAGATGTATTCGTTGGTCGCACGACTCATTTGTCTGTATAAACTTGACTCAAATTTTGGGTATTTCAACGTGACGGAGGTTAATTATGTCTGTCATGTGTGAGTGGGAGATGTATGAAGTAGGAAATGTGGTTACACTCATAACCGCATAACCCCTCCATCATAGGTAGTTATAAAAACTATGTCCAAAATTAAAGCCTATAAAGTCTCCCCCTCTGGTGAACATTAACTCTCTCTCTCTTGTGAACAGTAATCCACGAGTTCAAAACAGTGATTATGGAACTATAGCCATAAAAAACAACAGAGTTAAAGAGGCACATGAGTTGTGAATCATATTTCCGTTTCTTCACTGTGAACGGGAGTTCGACAATGATTATCGTGGAGTGCGTTGAATCTGGCCGACAGAGATAAAGATCTTGGAACTCTTTGAATCAATAATTTTTAATTTCACATTTCCGATTCGTTAGTTATCCTCCAAGTCTAACAAACTATAATATGGTCATAATAGTTATATATTGAATGCACCGTTATAAATAGCGGTAAATAGCCCCGTAATAGCGACGCTAATAACGTTAGCGATCCTTTCTCGCTACGTTATCGCCCAATAACGGTGATATATTGCGGAATATGCGCTTTTCGTTTGCAAAAGCGGCTAATAGTGTACCATAAAGGTAAATAGTGGGCGATTGCATGCGAAATTCGCTTTTTGACTGCTATATTTAAAAGCAGTTTGAGGTTTATATTTTTAAAATTAAACCCAACCCTTGACTATTGTATTCCACAGTTTCCTGTGATTTTCGGCATACTCATGCCACCTCTCATAGCCTCTTGCACCTACCTCAGTACTTTCTCTCACCTCCTTCACCGTGAGCTCCTCTTAGGATAGCCCTCTTACCACTTAGCTTTGCTTCTCGAATACGGTGACTCTTTGACTCTTCCAATCGTCTTCTATATTACGTGATGGTTACATGTCTATTTTATGTTTATGATCTCTTTAAATCATTAAATATGTGGTTTTAATTTTTTTTAGATTTTTCTTTAATCTTTTTTTAGTATTTATATATATCTAAATTAGACCGCTATTTGACTTTGTGCAATAGCCCCAACTAACCTTAGCAATGCCTCACCGCTATTTTACCGTAATAGCCCTAACTAACCTTAGTGATGCCTCACCACTACGCAACGCTATACGCTATTGATAATATTGATTGAATGAATGAATATCAACAGGGATCTTGCCTTCTTTATAGTTTTAAGAAAAACGCACCTTTCAAACTTTTTTCATTTTATCATTACTTTATGTTTTTCCCTTTCCTAATTTTCCCTTTTCTCCTATTTTAAACTATCATTTTACTTCTTTGGGAAAAAAATTAGCCTTTTTGATCACTAAAGTCCCCAAATTAAGCTTTGTCCTCATTCTACACTATGTTTTGGCCATCCTTTGTTCTCTTTCGATAAGACCATAGATGCTATGGGTCTCGATCTTCTTCTTTATAGTTTTAAGAAAAACGCACCTTTCAAACTTTTTCCATTTTATCATTACTTTATGTTTTTCCCTTTCCTAATTTTTCCTTTTCTCCTATTTTTAACTATCATTTTACTTCTTTGGGAAAAAAATTTGCCTTTTTGATCACTAAAGTCCCCAAATTAAGCTCTGTCCTCATTCTACACTATGTTTTTCACAACCTTCTCGTAGAGAACGCCAATTGGACTAAGCTCACCAAGATAACCTTTTAAAGCATGAATCTTCATGTTGGCTTCTATCAAGGTTCTTTATCACCAATGTTACCGATAACAGATAGCGTCGCTAGCGGTGAGGTATCGCTAAGGATATTTGGGACCATTGCGATAAAATAGCAGTAAAAAACGTAAAGTCAAACATCGGTCTAATTTAGATATGTACAAAAATTAAAAAAATTAAAAAAATTAAAGAAAATTTTAGAAAATCTAAAAGTGCATATTTGATGATTTAAAGAGAGCCTAAACATGAAATAGACATGTAACTGTCATATATACGAAGATGACTAGAGAAGGAGTCAAAGAGTCCTTGTCTTCGAGAAGATGAGTTGAGCGGTGAAAGATCTGTAGTAGGAGCTTATGACGAGAGGATGTGAGAGGAAGTGCTGAGAGAGGTACCGGAGGCCGTGGGAGGCAGTGGGAATACGCTAGAAATCACGGAAGGCGGTGGGATGCAGTGGTTGCAGGTCGGGTTTAATTTTAAACAACTACACCTCAGACGGCTTTTAAATATCAGTCAAAAAGCAGATTTTGTCCGCAATCGTCGGCTATTTACCGCTATCTATGACACACTATTGATTGCTTTTGTGAGTCGAAAGCGCATATTCCGTAGTATGTCACCACTATTGAGTGATAGCGTAGCGGAAAGGGACCGCTAACACTATTAACGCCGCTATTGCAGCGCTATTTACCACTATTTATAACAGTGTCTATCACCTATCAATGTTACCGAATATCCTCCATCCGCACCTTTCTTTTACTCAAAGTAATCATGTATAACTTAAACTTTTGAAATGCACATACCTACTTAGCTACTAGTTCAGTAGAAATCATAGAAGAGCAAAATGGCCGTGTATCGAAGTCCTCAACTAACATACTTCGCAAACCACAACTATGAAGCGAGATACTCACCATATCACATGTTCACGGATTAGACATCATGATGACTACCAAGTCAATAATATCAGATTAGAGATCACAACAAGTGGCAGGATAAATGCAAACTGGGAACATTCTGCAGTATCTAATATGTGATGCCGCTGAACATGCAGTGATATTTCACTTGAAAGATTGCAAACCAATGATATTGCCATTGAGCTGTAATATCAAAAGCTGCCATGAACCAGACAGCAATTTCATGAATACATTCTTCAATACCTGTCATGAACAAAGACTGCAATATCACAAGCGGCCAAGGAGTCCTTGTTGGACAAAAGTGTTTGCACAGAATCTTCTGGCACCTCTCTCATCACAAGAGTCTTCTTAATACCCTACATAAACAAGTACAAACAATTACTTGAAGCACAAGATCAACATGGATGAAATAAATATTTCATGCAGCAGCTTGGGGCTCTAAAGGGAACTGATAATTGATGAATATAAATCAGGAATTGATATTGTTTAACGTTTAGCATGCAGCAACACATTGATCATGTTTAAGGGGGTTTACAAGATAAACCCATACAGAAATCGCATTAAATCTGCAGAATAGTATATTGATGGAAATTATCCAGTAGCAATAGGCCATCGCTTTTGGAGAGGGAAGAAACAAAGCAACTAAGAGCGCAAAAGAAAGAAGATAAACAAGTGAAAGAGGAAATATTTAGACAAAGGTAAAAGGTCAGTAACTTCCTAGAATTTCAGTAAAAGAAGATAACTAAATCATTGGGAACAGAAGAAAAGCTGGACACTGTTGCTTATTGTCATTTGAAGAAACTTTTCAAGCAGAGCACATAACAGGGAGATGCAAGAGCATGACTATAGGTTATGGTTTTCATCAAGTTAGCCTGTGCTGTAATTATTGTGTAGAATAAAGGATCATGGCCTGTTCTACAACTGACTTAGGTTTTGGAAGGTTCATCATAAGACACAAATGTATGAATGGCTAAGTTGCAAAGAAACAGGTACAGGTATGGGACGCTGAAAGTTTGTAAAATGTAGGGTATGCAGAGGTGGGAACATGTCTATATAAATATTTATATACATTATACATACATACACTATATATTGAAATTAATAATTTACATAAAATCAATGTTGTTTTTTATTCACATGTTATAAAAATTAAATTTCCTACAGTACTTTTATGTTTCTTTTATTATGTGCAATAGATCAGAAAACTGCCATTTTTTAACTAGACAACCAGGCGACCCTTAAAATAATAGTTTGAAACCAGACCTATGTTGCACAAGTTTTAGGAAGTGCATATGAAGCGTATGACATGCGTCCAAGTGGATGAGAAGTGTTTTAACTTATACGATATATTGCATAAGTGAGTACATGCCTGAGTAGATGTATTCATATATGCAAAGAGTGTACGAGGAGTTTGGGTACAGCTACAGTTACATGTACATGGTAGGTATGGGTACAGCTTCAGTTAGGAGTACCCAGGTAACATACATCAACTGAAATAATGTAGAGCTTTATAGTAACTCTCGAATATTAATGCTTGTATCCATATTGAACAACATGATGGGCTAATCATGGATGATCTACTCCCTTTATTATAACAAAAAGTATGCACACAAGAAACTATACATTCCTTAAAGTTTTTGGTCGTCCATCAAACGGTTATGTTCTTCTAACTTTAAAATCTTCACAACCATTGGATGAATAAGTGAAGAAACTTCAAACCACATAATATTTTGCCCATATACATTTTATCATGTGACCACTGTGTAATTAGCTGGTAGTCTGGTAATAAAGATCAAGTCTGTTCCCTAGAGAACTATAAAGCACTATCCTATTAGTCTATTACACAAGCGCTAGTCACACAAATACAAACACAAGCACACCTACACATATAAGTAGTAGAGAAAGAGACCAATAACCGATAGCACAAAATGGATCAAAGTGTATTGATACACATTGTATTTATTGATAATTAAGTAACAAGAGGCATTATGAAATTAGGTAAGAACTGTCTGGCAAATGTAAGCACTATCCTATTACATGAGTGCTAGTCACACAAATATAAACACAAGAACACAGACAAATGTTAGACAATAGAGAAAGAGAACGAACACCCAGAGAACAAAATTGACACTGTGCAATGAAGGCATTCAATTCTAGTTTGAGATTGAATCTGAAAACTGAAGTGAAAAAAAAAGAATGAAAAGAGAGATAAATTAGGATTTAGACTGTTTTCATGCACAACACCTAATCAGATTTGGCTTCACACTTATTGGATTCACACCTTGGCACACACGCTTACTAGTAACACATGCTAAACTTTCATAATCTTTATTCTCAAATTTTCTCTCCCCCTTCAAATGAAGAAGTACATCGTTACTTATAGAATAAAATCCTAATCAGATCAAACAACTTCCTAACTAAAAGAACAAAAAAAATAATACCTAAAAATCCTAACTAACAAATAAAACCCAATAACAATTCCTAAAATTTCAACTAAAGAAATCAAACCCTAAAAAAGACTAGCTCAAGATGTCCTGCATCAAAATGTCCTGCATCAATGGATCAAATTGTATTGATACACATTATATTCATTGATAATTAAGTAAACAAGAAGCATTATGGGATCAGGTAAAAACTGAATGGCACTCGAAAAAATAAGAGCTTGCATCACTAAGCTGACCAAAAACTTATATTCTGAGATACATAATGTTGACAGTTACTTCGATGATAAAACAGTGCACAAAACCATACTGGGTGATTGACACAATGTACCTAACTAAGTTTTACAATCATATCATGAATTAAAATCACCCTGGTTCTCTAATAACAAAAATATGAACTAAATTAATTAGCATGATCAAATGCCCGCGATATTGCATACCCATACACAAAAAGAGGAGAGAGAGACATTCTCAAGTACAATACTTGAAAGCTAAGTAGCAGTTGTAGAGACACCTTTGAAATGCAGATACCCTTGTTTGAATCATATGGAACAGGATGGTAGTTATCAGGGAGTGGACTATAACTAAAGATGAGAGAAGCAAATTATTTTTGACTTGGGGTTGAGTAGGCCCTTTCGTAGAAGCAACTTTCCATCAGAGAATTATATCAGACACTAAATCACCAAATATTTAGAGTAACAATAAATAAATTTCATCATTATCATCTCAGCCTTCTCCATGAAATAAGCTCAGTTATGGAGACAAAGCCTGTAACAAAGGCTCAATAACTTAGATTAATTTTTTGGGTACAATTGATAACCAGGTGTATCCCCCAAATGGAATTGAACCCCTGGCAAAGGAAACTCTATATACAAGAAGTTGCTTGCCAAAGTACTATGGTAGGAACAGCTAACGTATTGGTTGTGCAGTTTACCCACATGAAACAAAATAGCGACCTCTATTGTTCTAATAGATTAAGAACTAGTCTAGGAGAAGGGATAAGGATGAATTTGCTAAAGGGAGCAAATGTAAGGCAATGTGCCCAAGAGATAGTCACGAGACACTCCTAGCGACATAAATAGGAATAAACGAAGGCACTCATAAAAGAGAACGAACGCAATGGTGGCTAGGACGATTCAAAATGCAGAAATGTCAAGTCAGTTCGAAGTACAGTTTTTTTAAGGATAGATACTAATATTTGAGACAATTCCTATTTAATGAGAAGGAACCTAGATATAAAAAAATATTTGAAAGTCAAGTAATATGGCATATGATCTTACCCATAAAGCAGGTCTATATGCTTTTATTTCTTATCTACTAATGCCATGTCAAAATTTGAGCATAGATACCAAATGAGGTAAAACAAAAACTTAACAATGAACAATTAAGAAAATATGATACGGAACCACACAATTTAAGCATGGAAACTTTTAATCCAAGTATCACACACAGAAACTACTCTTCAGAATTAAAAAAAGCAGAAGATTAGCAAAAAAGGATAAATAACCCACAATGCCTACATCCTCTTTATGGCAAGAAGCTGTTTTGCATACTCCAGAGAAAGATAAAACTGAGTGCAAGCTGATTATAATTAACAGAAGAAAATGAAGATAGCATAGAGGTGAACATACTCCAGGAAGCTCAACAACATTAGCTGCAAAACGTTCGCCAATTGTGGGAGTGTATCTATCAGAAAATGCCCTGTTCAAGAAAAGCAATATGAATTTCAGTGAAATAATAAATATCATAAAGGAACAAAAAATGTCAAATAGCGATAACAAAATTAATTTTAATTGAAATATATTTCAAAAGAAGAGAAATTTAGAATTTGACCTTCCAATCAATGAATTTAACAGCGCGGACTTCCCTGCATTTCTAGGCCCAAAGACAAAACACTGGAAAACATTTCTTTGTGATTGCTGTCTCTTACGATCTAAACGCCTTCTTCTTGTTATGTGAAATGCTGATGAAGGATCACTATTGTATCCAATATATATAAGGTTGGCCAAACTACTAGCTGGATCAAGAAGTGTCATGTGTGCCCACTGCAATTTAAAAAAGATGGATGAAATCCTAAACAAGCACAAGTTATTCCAAGGTCCAGGATGTTCTCAAAATACAACTGATATATTTTACAAAAAAGAATGTGATGTTAAGTGTAAATTTAAATACTAAAATATAAAATTGGAAACATAGAAACACCACATGTGTAAGATATACCAGCTGGATAGTCACTTTAGGTAATCTCAGAGTAAAGAATACTGCTATCTCATAATTCTTGAGCTGTTCCACGGTAGGTACTAATCATTGTGGTCTAACATCCATACCGTCCTCCACACAAATGTATGCACTCTCACCACCCCATTGACATTCAAAGAAATTTACAAGCACCAGATCAAAAACTTTATATATGATAACAGTATAGCTGCCCAATTCATACTAAAAAGAGAAAAATGTCCTACCTACTTCTCTTTAAGCAACACCATTCTATCGTATCAGACTCTCCTCTTGCAGGTTCTGTACAACTTGAATAATGTTATCCTTCCAACTAATTTTTGAACTTCAGCCTTTATAATAATTATTTCTTCTAAAAAACGCTCATATCCTAACTCAATTCTCTTTTACCTTGCTGTAAGTAGTTCTCCTAGGAACCTAGTATCCATTAATCTTGTAGAGATATCAAACTGACCAGATAAAATCAATGGAAGCCTTTTCCCATGGTTTTGCTCATACTTTTGGTGTAGGTTACTTAGGATGGAGTTGCTTGCTATTAGGATTTATTGATTATCGAGCATACTAAGCGGAGGATCAAGACCAAAGCTCACATGAATGTGTTATTTTCTCATTTCATAGGTGTAAGCTCTAACCAACCCCTTAGGTCCATATCTTACTCCTTAACTAAACACGGGTTATGCAGAGTTTATGCTTTTGTAGTTATATAGCAATTCTATCTAACATCTCATTATGTATCTTAAGCTGTCTTCTAGTTTGATTTTTATCTTTTTTCTAGGATACATAATTTATGCATATAGAATCTTAGTTTGTACTTTAGAATTAATCTAGATTTATTTGACTGCTGGTGCATATCATTTGTGTAATTTACCATGTATCTGCCTGATCATTCATTCATCCTTTTTAACTTGTCCTGCATCAATCCTATAATAAAAAAATTGTAATGTATAATAATCAGAAAACAATAAGTCTTAAAATTGCACTTCACAAAAAAAGGAAAAAAGAAAAAAAAATAAGAAGAAAACTCAAGTGTTTCTCATTGGAAGAAAATTACAAAACCCAAATCAAACAGGTTTCTCTTTTAGTTGTGATGTTTGTTTGTGTGCCATTTTCCTCTCGTTTTTTAGGGCAACCGAGACTAGACACATGTAAACTTCACCATTAAGTTTCATTAACTTGAGAGTGCAGAGTTAAGAACTAAACATGCTGAATGTAAAACAATCGCTGGTGTAAACAATTCATGTGTCACTCCATGATAGTCATAGCAAGAGACTGGCTTAAATTTTACATAAATTATGCATTAACTATCTGCTAATTAACAGATTTTAGCACAATCAACCACCAAAATAGAAAAAAGGACTAGTACGTTTCAATATTATAAAAAGATGTGTGATTCACAAGGTGAAACATATCGCAGTCTAAATCTAAAACGTAAGCTACTAAGTAATAAGCAGGTAGTCTAGAAATTCATAAATTTTTCATTGATCTCAATGAGGAACAATGCAAGAACATGGTGAAGTATGCAAATTGAGAAACAAGACATGATCAAATACCTCAGACAGAAATCCATCTAGAGATAACCCCCCTAAAACATTCTTTTCTGCAGCATCCTTATAAGGGTAATCAGACCAAGGGCTGCAATGGTTTAAAAAAATGATCAGAGGCATAAGTAAATGAGATGAAGTTCAAATAAAAAGCAGAAGTCTATATGAACAATAGATTATCTTTAATGCATAGAGATAATAGTCCAGGTAGTTCTTAGCGATGTAAAATCCAAAGTTCCAGACAAATCACCAGTCAAGTATGACTTCCTACATTCACCTCTAATTATATAATGAAATATCAAGGATATCCAGATCAATTTAAATATTGCTATGCATAAATGTGTAATATATTTATCAATGTTATAGAAAGTGATTAATCCCTCCCTCCCGTCCCCTCTCTAGAATCCTCCTTCACCCACATCAGGCCCACTGGCACCTCAAATAGCCAGGTATGGACAACAAGATATTTTTCATGAGAAGGTAAAACATGATTAATAACAGGAATACCCAAAACAATATGTAAATTCCAGAAGAACAAAAGAACAGCAATACTGATACAAATAAAAAAATTAGTATTGCCAAGATTATGAAGATCTTTCACAAGACAAACAGAGTTCCTAAACGCGAAGCTGCATTAGCCAATATATAACCAAGGAACAATTTTGCATAAATCTCAAGAAGTTCTTAGTTCGCATCATTATGGATGACCAGATCAACACCAGAAACAATGTTGTAAAAGGCAATACAGTCCATCCCACTCTGCGAAGCGCACACAATACCATCAAGCAACATATGCAGACACATTAGAAAAAGAGCAAAACAAAGAAGAGGGAGAAAGAAAAACAGGAAGGAATTGAGAGGATAAGAAGATAGGAAGAGAGAGCAAGCGATAAACAGACAAGGAAATATGACCAGTTGACATCACTGGACAGGCACATATTTCATTGGATCCAATCAAAACTCAGTCAAGTTAACTATAATAGATCAGCCCAGGGATAATAGAAACCAACACAACAAACTTTAAAAGCTGTCAGGTCCAATCAAGTCTGAGCTAAATCTAACCAACCTGTTAGACTGGACATGACTTTTATCTCATTTTCCTGGTCTACCTCAAGTACATGTAAAGAACCAGAAGATTTATCTTAAGCCCCGATATACATTCACTATGAGATCAAGAAGAAAATTCACAGTGGTTGTTTCAACTCTAATACTAAGATAACACTAACAGTCTGTACTATTCACAGTTAAAGGCTTCCAACCAAATTTATACTGATTTAACATGCATCCTTCAACAAAAGAAATCCAGAAAACTATGTGAAAATTGTATATCCATCAACAGAGGAAATCCAGAAATTTACGTGAACACATAATACACATGTCGATTCGCACAATTCTAACGGCCCACACATGTCGGTGCAGCAGAAATATCAGAACTGAGAACGTCAGGAATGTGTAGAAGTAAATAAAAAAACTTATTTTCTACAGGAGAACACAAATTCACCTTTCTGGTGCAGTTGAAAAAAGATCATCTAGTTCAGCCGGTCGCAAAGCCCCATCCTATTAACCAAAAATATGTATTCAGGAAAGCAGAAATAAAGAAATAACAGTTCAAGCAAATCTAAATTGGGTGACAGTTCTTATTATATTAGAATCATATTCTGAAGCATCTATGCAAATATGTGCGTATACAAACAGTTGAACAGCAAATCATAAAAGTAAGAGCCTAGTATTTGTTCAGATATGATTAGCTGCCCGAGAAAATAAATGTCATTTCACTGTTGCTTTCAATTTAAGTTTGGAAAATCTTCCCGAGACAAGAAGAGAGTAGAAGAGCACAGCAAAGACAATTGTCACGCTCCAATTCAACTTCCTCTGTTAAAATTTGAATTCCCTCTCTACCGTTAGTAGCCTCCCTCCCTACTCTGTGTAATTATGCACACACCCACACACATGGGATGCTGGGTATATATAGCACCCTCCCTCCTCTGTGTAATTATAGCACACACCCACACACATGTGAAGAAGCAAGGCATACACTATTACAAGTATAGGACTCTTAGGCATAAGAAATTTAAAGGATAAGCAGGATAAGAAAGTAACACGTACTTTGTCAATGTCAAACATATGGAAAATTTCTCTCAAGAACTCCACGGCTTCATTTGTTAACTCGACACTCTGCATAAGATACAAAATATATTAGGACCTTGAAAAAAGTTCCAGGAGAACAGTTGCAATGTATCAAAATGAACCACATGTTAACTGTCATAATTTTGTACGATTTTAGAACTTGTTTAGAAGTGTTGGTATAGCAATTGATATCTGCCATTGGGACAAGAAACAATTTTGAAATGTAAAGACGCAAGTGGACAACCTCCCCACAGTTCCATGTGTGCAAATATATATCAAATAGGAAAGTAACAACAAATTGATATGAATGAAATCCCCCATAATCTCCAAAACTTCGAAGCATGGACTTGGCAATACTTTAATGCTGCTAAGTGCAAAGAGACTAAACTAGAAAGTCTCGATGCACCCCCATGAAGAAACAATAAGAAAATCGTGCCGGGCCAAAAGAATTGTTGTAAGATCAAAAATAAGAAAGATTAAAGGACTACATGTGTCAATCATTTTGCATAGAACAATAGCAAAGTTAAGCATATGGTCGCTTGAAAATATGTCATTGTGAACCACTATTGGCAAAAGTAGGCATTTGGTATATCCTAATGAGGAGACCACAGTTCTAAATTGGTTGATGCATGATGAGAATCATGTCCAATTGGTCTTCTAAAAAACAATATGATATGTGTAACAGAGTTAGATATGGCAAATCCTGAAAATTCAAGATATGAGAATTAGTAGATACAAAAATAATAAACTTGTGTGCAGCAAAATGTTTCATCTATAACATGTAATCATGTACAAGAGTATTATGGTTAAAAAGTTGAGGTGAAAGATTTCCATGCTATGTAAAAATTGCATATAGACCCCCTGTAGTATCGCTGTTTTATCTTACTACCCCTGTATTCATTGTGGCAGATAGACCCCCAAAGGGTTTTTTTAACGCCTTTACTAGGTGAAATATTGTCAGATAGAACGCCTTGGGTTAAATAAGTGAGTCTTTCTATTAAGGGTAAAAGAGTCAACAAATTCACCTAGAGCCTAGGGGGTCTATCTGCCAAAATGAAACTAAGGGAATAGTGAGTTCAAAAAAATGTCACTACTGAAAGTTTATGTGTAATTATACTTATAAATTAATATCTACAAGGAAATCACAATTCAAAACTAGGAAAGTAGACAATTTACATAAATGCATATCAAATGGGATTCTAAGCATGTCTTGCATAAATTAGATTTTTAACTTACTTCATCGAGGATATACCTGTTATACACCTTTATTATGCATAGGACTTTTGTGTGTGTGCGTACATCACAGGGATATCCGACAGGAATCGAGTATCCATGTGCTGAATATGCGTTGGAGATTGGGCAAAGGTAATTCTCCTTCATGTTAATATCCAAGCAACAATATCCATGCAGCATAGACTATATTCTTTATTACTAGGCACATCATAATTTATGTCAAACTTCAACTATATTCTTTATTACTAGGCACATCATAATTTATCAAACTTCAAATACAACCATTTATGCTTTACAAACAGAACTTCGTAAATTTTAAGACTGAAATTTGCTGAAAACATTCATAATAACCAATATCCATACCTGGTCAGGAGCTCGCTTAAATGTGGATGACGGGAGGAGATCATTCCTAAGCTTAATATCGTTGTCATATCCAAATTTTCTCAAGACTGTCCATGTTGTTTCAAGACGACCTTTCTCAATGAACAGGGCATGAAGAAAAAGAAATCCAGTCAAAGTAAGGCCCCGTTCATTGACCCCCTCAGGCATCTTCTCTTGCACAACCTTCTTAACTCCCACAATTTCAGTAGGCTGGAGAGGTGCACTGAAGCATCTAACCTGAACACAATCATCTTCCAGTTGAAACTTAATCCATGAAAATATATATAATAAGAGTAAGCTTGCAGTTGAGAATACTCATGTATAGTAGTAAAGTGCATAGCAGAACCTGAAACTCATTTAACTCTGAATCACTCAGTGCTCCATCCTTGTCAGTATCGCAGAGAATGAATATCCTTTTCAAAGCTCTTACACATCGAGGCTTCAATGACTGTGTTTCTTGATCAAACAATGGGGCGGTTGGATGAAGCACTGCCTTCTGAGCATAGTAAAAAACTTCAGGAACCTGCAAATTAGCATTTGTTAAGTTCCAGAATAAAGGAAACAAAACAAATACTATAAATGATAAGTCATATATGAAAAAAAAAAATGCACACATGAGTTTCATGACAGTAACTGAAGCATTTCTATATCAGCATCCATAATGACTGCTCACGGCAATCAAAATGCCCAGACTACAGAAGGTGGCATATTGATCTCTCAGTTGGGAAATTTATCAAGAAGTATACATCATATATCCAGCAGAATTTTGCACAAGTTAACTTTACATCTTAGATCTTTGTGACATTAACATTAAAACAGTTGTATAGTGGACTCTAAGCACTATTCTGACAACTTATTGCCACTTTCTTCTGATTACGCAGAATTTAATTAGTATAGACCGACACCTCCCTGATAGTTGTGTGCAACGCTATCAAAGGTATGTGCCTCCTTGAGCCTCATGCGCCCTGCGATGCGGGGTGGTGGTGAAGCCCCCTGCATCTGATGTGGGACTATTAGCAAATGAAAGGCAATGTCTTTTTGTGCCTCGCAAGAGCCTTGCACTTCGTGCACGACGCATGCAAGACATAATCTAAAATATTTTTGTTCTTTAACACTCCAATCACTCTGTATATTTGATAACCCATATACTAAAACAGAAGAAAAAACCCATTTGGTCATTTTAGTAGCTTGATTGAGGACCTAATTGGTTCCACTATTTGATTTTGCTTTGATGCTAGTCTTGATTTGACTTTTCACTTGGAGAATTATGAACTTCACTACTATATTGGATATGTTCGCATTATAAATTAAGACTTTACATTGTGATTTGGTAGTAGATATTATTTATTTTGACATTTTTTATGTGAAAATTCATAAACATGTTCTTTCTTTTTTAATCATCTATCTTGAAAAATTATGTACAGGTGTACGCCTCGCTTCACTTGACACACATTGCATTGGGCTTGCACATGTGCGCATAAAGGGACTTTGCACCTCGTGCATTTATGACACTGGTTGTTTGTTCCCTTTTAAAGAAATCAGAGTTAGTAACATAAGGGCCATTTTTAACCATTTTCAACACCATGTCCTTTTGGTTCCTCTTTAAGATCTGTTCAACCACCGTTATTGAAGCATGTTCTGTCTGTCATCGGAACCAATGCGTCCATGACTTTGTTTCTTATGGTAGTCAGGTCTGTCATATCAGTTAATATCAGTTAAATGCTGACAGAATTGCGAGCAATCCCTGGTCACAGAATATGATTTCCTACCCAAACCAATTGCTCCAAAAGCTTACGCCAACATTTTGAACCAAAGTAGCTTCTTTTTTTTCTTTTTTCTTTTTTGCCCTTACACTTTATTTAACATGAAATCTTTCAATGCATGAGGCTACAGCATCAGGACTCATCTAACATCCATAACACCATAAGGAAAACCCAACTTTATCTCATCCTAATATGCAATTGATAATGTGAGACTCATTTGCCACAAAATTTTTACCTCATCCCAAAAAAACCAATTAAAATGTCAGTTTTGATGCAGAAGGTGAGACATTTCTCAGTACCTGAATCTGCCTGAGGGCAGAGCATTCGATGCATGTCTCAATCTCCCGAAATTGCTGCATGATCGGGGACATCACCTGCTCCAAGCTCATCTGCTGCTCGTCCCTCAAGTCCAGCTTGCATCCCACCACGATCACCGGCACTTTGATCTACACCCACAGCAATTTAACCATGCTCCACCGTCAAATCTTGAACCATCAAAACCCTAGCAAACGCAACAAATCAGAAGGGGGGAACCAAACAAACCTCGAGCTTTCGTAGCTCAGGTAGCCAGTAAGTGCTCAGGCGATCGAGCGTCAACGGCCTATCGCAGGCGTAGGTTAGCACGATGACGTCAGCGTTCTGGCACTCCGCGATCGTCTTGATCTTGTGCTCAGGGCTGCACCAAATCAAAGATCACCATAAGCTTATCGAGATTATCATAACAATGACGAGAGAGAAAGTAGAGAGAGAGAGAGAGAGAGAGAGAGAGAGAAAGAGAGAGAGAGAGACTTAGACGAAGTGTCGATGATGGTGAGGGGAACGCGATCAGGGTAAGTAGTCGGCGGGTAGACGGGTGGGTACGGGAGACGCTCTGGCCCGCCGAGCGGCGCGATGCGGGAAGGAGTCGTGGCGATGGACGCGATGAGGCCTCGATTTTCGCGGTGCGCGCGAATCACTCGATGACAGGCGATGCCGGAACGCTCGAGCGGCCGTCCAGAAGTTCGGAGGTTTGGGCTTGCCTGGCGGCCATGGAAGGCTTTGGTGATCGATGGAGATTTTGAGGGTTTGCGGGTTTTTTCCCTTAGGGCGTTTGTATTTATAGTGGGGGCAATTAACATTTTAGTAGCCTATTGTTTATTCAATGTTGTACGGAAATACCATGTAGTAAATAGTTTTCCTTAAGTATTCGAAAGTTTCTAAAAGTTGTATTTTAGTATTTTTAGTTACGCGAATGTGAAAAATTTTCCCAAAAATTCTCATGTGATACTCTTAAGATAATTTCAAAATGTTTTGACGCTCGCTACTTGTTAAATGTACCGTTAAACCTATCAAACTCTAAATTAAGAGAGAAACATGTTAGGTTTAAAATAAGATTTTGATAGTTTAGTCATAGATTAAAGGAAAAATAACGGTTAAATTATTCTAAAAATAGCATGTGAGTGCCGCATGATAATTTTCTGGGGGAAATTCTCATGTTTGCTACTAAATTGCAACTTCTAAAAACTTTAAGGTGTTTAGATGAAAATGGTTTACAACTAAGAGTATTTATGTGCAATATTAGATAAAAAATAGAGCATTTACGTGTAATTTATCCTAGGCTTGTTTTCACTTTGAGAGACTAAAGTTTACCCAAATATTCACTTTTATAATTTTGGATTAGATTAGATTAGAATTTTTTAACACTTTTGATATACCTAAATTTCAATCTCATTTCACTTTGATACCCCCAAAGTATTAGGGCGTTTGTATTTATAGTGGGGACAATTTACATTTTAGTAGCCTATTGTTTATTCAATGATGCACGTAAAAATCATGTAGTAAATAGTTTTACTTAAGTATCCGAAAGTTTCTAAAAGTTGCATTTTAGTATCTTTAGTTACGCGAATGTAAAAGATTTTTCCAAAAATTCTCATGTGATACTCTTAAGATAGTTTCAGAATGTTTTGACCGTTAAACCTATCAAACTCTAAATTAAGAGAGAAACATGTTAGGTTTAAGATAAGATTTTGATAGGTTTAGTCATAGATTAAAGAAAAAATAACGGTTAAAATATTCTAAAAATAGCATGTGAGTGCCGCATGATAATTTTCTGGGGGAAATTCTCATGTTTGCTACTAAATTGCAACTTCTAAAAACTTTAAGGTATTTAGATGAAAATGGTTTACTACTAAGAGTATTTATGTGCAATATTAGATAAAAAATAGAGCATTTAAGTGTAATTTATTCTAGGCTTGTTTTCACTTTGAGAGACTAAAGTGTATCCAAAGTTTCACTTTTATAATTTTGGATTAGATTAGATTAGAATTTTTTAAACACTTTTGATATACCTAAATTTCAATCTCATTTCACTTTGATATCCCTAAAGTATTAGGGCGTTTGTATTTATCGCGGGGACAATTTACATTTTAGTAGCCTGTTGTTTATTCAATGTTGCACGTAAATATCGTGTAGTAAATAGTTTTACTTAAGTATCCGAAAGTTTCTAAAAGTTGCATTTTAGTATCTTTAGTTACGCGAATGTGAAAAATTTTCCCAAAAATTCTCATGTGATACTCTTAAGATAATTTCAGAATGTTTTGACGCTCGCTACTTGTTAAATGTACCGTTAAACCTATCAAACTCTAAATTAAGAGGGAAACATGTTAGGTTTAAAATAAGATTTTGATAGGTTTAGTCATAGATTAAAGAAAAAATAACGGTTAAAATATTCTAAAAATAGCATGTGAGTGCCGCATGATAATTTTCTGGGGAAATTCGCATGTTTACTACTAAATTGTAACTTCTAAAAACTTTAAGGTATTTAGATGAAAACTGTTTACAACTAAGAGTATTTATGTGCAATATTAGATGAAAAATAGAGCATTTAAGTGTAATTTATCCTAGGCTTGTTTTCACTTTGAGAGACTAAAGTGTACCCAAAGTTTCACTTTTATAATTTTGGAATAGATTAGATTAGAATTTTTTTAACATTTTTGATATACCTAAATTTTAATCTCATTTCACTTTGATACCCCCAAAGTATTAGGGCTTTTGTATTTATAGTGGGGCAATTTACATTTTAGAAGTCTATTGTTTATTCAATGTTGCACGTAAATCGTGTAGTAAATAGTTTTGCTTAAGTATCTTATCCGAAAGTTTCTAAAAAAGTTGCATTTTAGTATCTTTAGTTATGCGAATATGAAAATTTTTCCCAAAAATTCTCATGTGATACTCTTAAGATAATTTCAGAATGTTTTGACGCTCGCTACTTGTTAAATGTACCGTTAAACCTATCAAACTCTAAATTAAGAGAGAAACATGATAGGTTTAATATAAGATTTTGATAGGTTTAATCATAGATTAAAGAAAAAATAACGGTTAAAATATTCTAAATAGCATGTGAGTGCCGCATGATAATTTTCTAAGGGAAATTCTCATGTTTGCTACTGAATTGCAACTTCTAAAAACTTTAAGGTATTTAGATGAAAATGGTTTACAACTAAGAGTATTTATGTGCAATATTAGATAAAAGATAGAGCATTTAAGTGTAATTTATCCTAGGCTTGTTTTCACTTTGAGAGAGTAAAGTTTACCCAAAGTTTCACTTTTATAATTTTAGATTAGATTAGATTAGAAATTTTTTTAACACTTTTGATATACCTAAATTTCAATCTCATTACACTTTGATACCCCCAATTCCCAAAGTATTTATTTTAACACTTTTGTATCTCTAAAGTTACAATGGTGTTTCATTTTGATACCCCATTCCGATTTTGTTAGGATTTTTCTATTAAATTAATATCGTGTTCTTAACATGTGATATATTTGCTATTAAGGCTCGCAAGCAGTATCAATTTGCTTTTTAAATGCGCTTTAAATTTACAACCAGTGGAAACTGAACTGGGACATTTTGATATCATGTCAAAGGTTGATGTGATTGCACCAAAACTCCGAGATTTTTAGTGAGATTGAGGTTATAATGTTATAATTTGACAGCTCAATCCACTTAGACTAGGCTGGAACTCTAAGTCGTTGATACTCAAGTCGATCGGAGAGTTCATTATTCTATTGCATTCATCCGAGCGACTCTTGAAGAGGAAGAAAGAAAGGAATGGGAACATAATTTACAATTTAGTATCTATAAAGTGATTTATTTTCACAATTCCATCTTCACTTTATACTCATCAAACACCCCTTAAGGTAAAGTCATGATCTTCACTATTCAATTTCCAAGTCATAAGTTGCTGTAAGATCTAAGTACATGGCAAAATGTTGCTAGCGAGAGAGAGTTCAAAATAGGAGCTAGGGTCACTTTTTCTTGTTAACATTTTTATTACTTCACTTCTTCCTTTTTTTTCCGAACTGATATTTTTATCACAGGAATCTTTAAGATTTAAGTTGGAAAGATTATGATGATATATATTTATGTTACGAAGAAAAACAACTGAGAAGGTAAGTCGCTCCAAATAAAAAATAATCAAGAAGGATATATTGAGATTATATTTGTACGTTATGTATGTGGTTAGTAGAGCTATTAGATTGCTAATGGTTAATAGAGGCTGCGAGTTTACATTGTTCTTATGCTCAGAGGCCTTTCACCATTAATTTCATGTCATTTGCTAGTTATTAGATATTACTGAACTATTCATTACCAGCATAAGAATATGAAAGATAATATTATGTTGAATACATCTCATCGATAAAATGGTCATCCATGCTCCTTCCATAAGATCAAACCCCACTTACCAATTTATACAAACAACCAAAAAACATAGGCTTACATCTTCTTAGCTTGTGGACAATTGCCTAAAGATGTAGCAGAAACCGCATGAATTTAATATAAAGAACCTACACAAGCAAAATACATCAAACAGTTTACACGAGTTGCAAGTGACTGTCTATATTTGAAATCCTAAACATATAGAGTGATGCAAAATCAAAGTAGGCATCTTTATTTTTCAAATGCAATTGCTAGTTTCCTCCTCAAAAGCTCACAAGATCGACCCTCCTCCTTCAAGCTTTCAACAGTCCCCTTGAGGCTTGTTTTAAGAGGGATGAAGTCAATTCCAAGGCCCTTGGTTTTTTCCTTCGAAAAACTGGGTAAGTTGGCGTGGACGGCTGGTCATCAGCGCACCTGGCAGATAGAATGCATGAGGTAGCTATAGCAATCAAAATATATGTGACATGAAACTATGGTTCAAAGCATCGAAGAAGGAACATATTAAGTAACCCATAAAAGAAACACTCTATTCAATGTTAACTGCTGCGAGACCCCCCTATACTATCTCCCAGTTACGGATACCCCTTGTAGTTGTATTGTTGCAGATAGGCTGCCCCGAGTGAAAATATTTCGACTCTTTTACCCTCGAGAATAAACTTTTTTCGGACAAATGTGCCTCCTGGGAATAAAAGAGTCAAAAAAATTCAGTCAGGGGTTCCATCTGCAACAGTAGTTACAGGGGTTCTATCGTCAATTGCGTCTGTTTATATTCCATTAGCAAATGAGTCGAATAGAGAAAGATGTCAGCAAAATTATATTTTCCAGGAATTTGATTATGATTCAAACTCAGGAAATGTGCACAAAGATGATTGGATTGGGAGCCATGGCACCGAAGTTGTCCCACTAGAAGAAACTTGTAATATCTTAGGTCCAAACTAATGTTACCATTTACCCAATAACCTTGTTATTCTGAGGCAAACTCATCTTAGGTCCAAACTAATGTTACCATTTACACAAACATATGCAGGAACCCAAAACATTCAGAGTACCATTCAAGGCAGGATCAATTAGCTCAGCCTGAAAATGTACAAGAACATCAAAATAATTGAATCAGACATTGTAGCTTATGATCTCGTAAAAAATCTGAATGTAAATTATTATGTTT